TATATATATATATATATATATATATATATATATATATATATATATATATATATATATATATATATATATAATATATATATATATATATAATATTTATTTGCAAATAAATAAAAGAAAAGCATCGGCTTCCTCAAGGTAGCGCATTAACAACTGTTTCAATCTTTGCTTCTGGAGCAGTCTGTGCGCACCCGCGCATGTATCTGCGTATTTTTTTTTTTTTTTATGGAAGCTAAACGTAGCTGGTGGGAGGAATAAGCGGGTTTTTTCTGACGGAGGCGAAAGGTCCGCCTTTCCGAGTGTACGAAAGCAGGTTACGGCGAGCGCTTGTAAAATCCATTATTATGAATGAAACGCCGGCGATTCTCTCAAGGATCGTATTCTGCTTCTGCAAGACTCTTGTGTTGCCAAGGGCTCCTCTCCCCCTTCCCAAAAGAATTATTTCTCACAGGAGAGAGAGAGAGATGCTTTAAATACTTTTCCCTGAAGCCCATAGCCACGCATTCAAAAAAGAATGGGTGGGGGGGGGGACAAGAAGAGAGAGGGAGAAACCGGAGGAGGGTTTATGGCCAAACTTGGATCGACTTGAGCTCAGCGTTAGGTAACAACGCGCACCAGCGGCAAGCCGGGCTCGTGCCGAAGATGATGCCAGACTAGGCGTCCAATAGAAATGCCCCGAAGCCTGCTGCTTTCTTCCGCGGCGCGGCTCCGCTACAGGCCGAACGCACGAAACCATTCATGAGTTTTGTGACATCATCGAAGGCCGAGGGCGGGGCTTTGGGAGCCCAGACACGCCCCCCTCGCCTATAAAAATAGCTCTCAAACTCTTTGTGCTGGTCAGTTTAGTGGAACAAACCTGTAGCTGCGTCGGGTAGGGAAAAAAACACGCTAACCCAGCAGCTGCAAGCTAAACAACTCGGGTGGGGGGAAAAAAACAAAAAAAAACCCGAACGGGCATTTATCTTCCGAGTGCTATTCTGGCGATAGTTTCTTACCGGGAAGCTTAGCCCGCTCAATCGCTCACTCTTTTTTTTTTTTTT